TGGCTGCTTTCCTCTGGCATGTTGTCCTCTCCAGCTGCCCCAGTGCCTGGCTCTAACCCTTTGGTAGTGCACCAGCCCATACTAGAAGCCTTATTTCCAGAACTGTGGGGATCTGCTGGCCTCAGAGAGGAAAGGCACCTGAAGTTCTTGCTGGGAAAAAGACTGAGGAGTTCGGAGAGTCAGCAGGGTCCTCACTCATGCGGTGCCTCCCATGCCTCTTTTTCTCTTCTAGGTATTGCAATATCTGAACAAAATGGCTGGAAATGAGTTCGTGGGTTTCAGCAATGCCACGTAAGACCCTGTTCACAGGATTGGCTGAATACATTGTGTGTGTGTGTGTGTGTGTGTGTGTGTGTGTAAGAGAGAGAGAGAGAGAGAGAGAGAGAGAGAGAGAGAGAGAGAGAGAGAGAGAGAGAGAGAGAGAGAGAGAGAGAGAGAGAGAGAGAGAGAGAGAGAGAGAGAGAGAGAGAGAGAGAGAGTATGAGAATAGAATAGAACCATAAGAGGAAGAAATCCCAAGGGAACTTTGGCCTCCCAGCTTTCTCTGAGCCCCTTCATTGGCATTTATTTACTTTATAGAAGAACTTGCTCTATTTCTATTTAGTACTTAATGAACGAGGTGATGTAAGGATTTCTTGCCAAGCCTCTCAAAGCCATGTTTTTCTAGACTAGATGACTAAACAATTTGGGGCTTTGTTTTTCACACTTTATAATAAAGCTCTGCCCGGTGTTTGCGGGGTCCCAGAGTTTCGCAGTATTACTGAGAATTTATAAAGGGGTTGATTTAATTTAATGTGCAATGTAGTTGTCTCTCTCAGGGAAGGTATTTTTCCCCCTTCTCCTCACACCCACCCCTCAAACATCAAGTACTAAATTGGGTGTTTGCTTCAGATTCCAGTCAGAGAAGGAAACGGGGGATCGGAATTATGCCATCGGCTATTATCTAAAGGAAAAGAAGGTAATTGGGAGAGGCCGGGAGAGCAAGTCCCTGGGGATTCTGTGGCTGGGGAAGGGCAGTTCGGGCTGGGGACTTGGGCTGAGGTCCTGGCCATGTGAAAAGACTCCGGATGGCCTGAGGAGAGATGCTCTCCCTCCCCTCTTCTTCCTTGCAGTGCTTCCCTAAGGGGGTGGACATGATGGCTGCCCTGGATCTCTACTTCCAGGTAAACACTGCTGCTCAGCTCAGGGTCAAGGGAACAGGACAGGCTGTACTTCCTGCTCTGACCCGAAGGGACGCTCCTCCAGAAACACCAGGGGAACTGGCAGAAAGATCAGGATGCCAAGAACGTTGCTCTGCAACCAAGAGTGTTCAGGTCCACACCACACCCTCACCTCTGCCCTGTCTCCATAGCTGTGCTCCGTGGAGGTAACCTGTGAATCGGGAAGTGTCATGGCAGCCACCCTGGCCAATGGCGGGATCTGCCCCATCACAGGAGAGAGCGTGCTGAGCGCTGAAGCAGTGCGCAACACCCTCAGCCTCATGCACTCCTGCGGCATGTATGACTTCTCAGGCCAGTTTGCCTTCCACGTAAGTGCTCTGGCCCTTCCATCCATGTGCCCAAGCCCGTAGCCAGGCAGAGGATACCGAGTCTCTGAAGGTGGAGAGGTGGAAGCTTGTACAGGCCTCCCATTCACTAACTTCCAGCCAGGCAATTAGGCTGAGAATCTTTAGGGGTTTGCCAAACACATAAAGTCCCTCAAACACAAACACATGATGTTGTGACCAATCTTCTGTGGCCCTTCACATGGCTGGTGCTTCTCTAGACTTCAGGTTAGATGTCGCCTCCAGAGAGAGGCTTTTCTGACCACTTTTATCCTCAGGTGGTGCCCCTCCCACTTCTCTATCACATCTTCCTACTTTTCTTCTGTGTGGTCATAGGCTGTGATTATTTTTGTCTATTTGTCTACCTGTGTACTGTCTATCTCCTATCATCAGAGTGAGAGGTTTTGTCCTAGTTCTAGCATCAGTCATGGAGTAGATACCCAATAAATATTTCCTTACTGAAGCCGTGAATTTAAAGGGGGGGAGGGGAGGACAGGAGTAGGAAAAGCTAATTAACAAGCCAAAAGGTTGAGGTGGGTGTGGCCTTGCCCACACAGTCATTTGGGATAAACTATTAACCCAGACTTGGGACACCTCTAGCTCATCCTCTTTCAATTTTGTCCCCAAGGTGGGCCTGCCAGCCAAGTCAGCTGTGTCAGGAGCCATCCTCCTGGTGGTACCCAATGTCATGGGAATGATGTGTCTCTCACCTCCACTGGACAAGCTGGGGAACAGCCACAGGGGCATCAGTTTCTGCCAGGTAAGTTACTTTGCACATAATACCCAATATTCTTGAATGAGTAACTAAAGCAATTTTTAGCTCCTACTAAGAGCAAGGAGTAAGTAAATAATCTCTCTGGCTTACAATTTTAGAAGTTGGTGTCTCTCTTCAATTTCCACAACTATGACAACCTGAGACACTGTGCGCGAAAGTTAGATCCGCGGCGTGAAGGGGGAGAAGTAAGGGTAAGGAAGATCCCAGGTGGCGTCTAAGAATATTTCAGAATACCCTTGGCTAAACATCCAGGGAGGAGCGTCATGGGCTGGAGCTGGGCATGGGTGGGCTCAAAGTCACAATTAATCTCAAGTGGGTATGATCTGTTTTCCAGAACAAGACTGTGGTAAACCTGTTATTTGCTGCCTATAGTGGAGATGTCTCAGCTCTTCGAAGGTACCTCTGTGACCAGATAAACACAATAAAATACTCCCGGTCAGAGATCTCATAAGGAGTTATCATAGCAAAATAGTTAAGTGCTTCAGCTTTAGAATCAGATACAATGGACACACAGTGCACTTAAATGAAAATTTTTTCAAAGTACAGTGCCTACTATGTGAGAAGACCTTAATTAATGGTAGCCACTGTTAGGATTAACCTGGGTGTTAAGAGCAGAGGTGGTAGGTAAGGATTACAACATCGGCAAATATGTACTGGGTAGCTACCACAGATAAACAGTGATGTTTCTGGAACCATCACACTCCCATTTTCTGACGTGGGTGTAACAGTCTCATCTGGGTAGAGAACACATTGTGCGAGGCCTACGATTTTGGCATAAGCTCTGGGACCTATCCAGTCTGACCCCACTTCAGAAAGGACATGAGTGATTCTAAGCTGATATGAGTTACTCCAGCTGCTTTCCACTACCCTCAGGTTTGCCTTGTCAGCCATGGACATGGAACAGAAAGACTACGACTCCCGCACAGCCCTGCATGTTGCTGCAGCTGAAGGTATCTGAAGGTTAAATAAGAGGTTAAATAAGTAGATCTGAAGACCCTTCCTTTTCTACCAAGAGTACCCCCCACCCAATTGGGTGTGCCCTCAGGGTGGTTTTGTCCAGACACCCTTCAGTTTGCAGGCTATTATTGGGTACTGCAGGGAACAAAATGGGAAGAGGCCTTTTTCCCTCCTTTATTGGTTCAGAACTCCAGCTGCCAAGGGTCTGCACCATTGTTGTCACCAAAAGGTTCAGGATCTGTACTCTCTCATTTTCCTTCTGCCCATATTCCTAGGACACATTGAAGTTGTTAAATTTCTGATTGAGGCTTGCAAAGTGAATCCTTTTGTCAAGGACAGGTGAGTAGGATTAAGCTAAAAGGGGGTGTGGGTAGCCACAACTGTTATCTATAGAACCAGGGCACTCTCTCTGTCTTCTTTGTTCCTCTCAGGTGGGGCAACATTCCCCTGGACGATGCTGTGCAGTTCAATCACCTGGAGGTAGTGAAACTGCTTCAAGATTACCAGGACTCCTACACACCATATGAGAACCAGGCTGAAGTAGCAGCTGAGGCTCTGTCTAAAGAGAACTTAGAGAGCATGGTGTGAGCATGGAGCGCACATGGTCCCTGCTCAAGAAAAATCATGAACTGGCCACACATTTAACCCACAACCACCAAACATGCTATGGAGAGCTGCACTCCTTCAGTGCAGGCCAAGACAGGCCAGTGCTTTCTGTGAGAGGCAAAATACCCCATTTCCCTTGGCAGAGTATAGAGAAGTGCCTAGGTGGATACCTGCAGTAGAGCTATCCACGGAGACTGTGGGCTTCTTCAAGGTATAGCCTAATTGCCTAGCCCACTCAAAATCTTTCCAGGTCTTCACCCAGGTCCCCTCTTCCTCTCCCTGAAGAAACCATCATGAGAGAGAAAGAGAGAGACACTTGGGTGAAGGGGCTCTAGCCACCATGCACATGTCTATATAGAGCTATGCACCTGGTTTTAGTTGTCTGGAGAGATCTGTCCCCCTTGGCAAGGAAACAGAAATTTTATAGACAGAGAAAGTATTTTGTGCTTAAATAAACTTTAATTACACAAATGATTATTTTTACTAAACCCAGTCCTCTTTCTCCCCTGGAGGTATTCAGTTGCATCACCATCATAAAGACAGAATAAGATGGAGCCACAGGGTCAAACAGAAATAATGTATTTCACATAGATGCTCATCCCACCAGGTTTTCCTCAACCCCTAATACTGCTTTAGGTTAAGTGTATTCTGCTGCCAAGGTTGCAGTGGAGGATAAGGG